GCTCTTTTGACAAGTGCCCTAAATGCTGCCAATATACAGTGGTACCTCAGGATACGAAATTAATCCGTTCCGAAACTGAGATCGTATCATGAAAATGTCGTAAGGTGGATCATCTTTTCCCATACGATTACATGTAAAACCAAATAATTCGTTCCAACGCGAAAAACATACTCAAATTAAAGCCAAGTAATACAGTACATTAAAAAAAATAACTGTAGTAAGAAAAACAAATGAAAAATGCGAACTAATGTAACGTCGTATGGTGAGTTTTTGTTCGTATCATGGAGCAAAAATATGTTCGAATTTTAAGTCGTATCCTGAAAATTTCGTATGCTGGGGCGTTCGTAACCTGAGGTACCACTGTACTTATTTTTTCATCTCAGTTTATCAAATATTTCAATAATGTTTTTATCTACCATTTATAAATTTTAAATACTTTTCACTGTCAACAGTTGAACATATTTCTTTGCTGTCAACTATAAGATCCACTTTAATCAGAGAAATTGCATCTTTAATCTTTCTTATCCAATCCAAATGATACTATCCTCCACTCTGATTAGTTCGATCACAATTCGGTCAATCCTAGATGTCATTTGCATACTCAGATAGAGATTGATCAGATTGCTATAGTTTGTTTATACACATGATTTGAACAATTAGAGTAATCTTGAATCAATTTATTTTATAAATGTCTGTGAGGACATATCTTATTACTAGGACTTATTGTATTGGTGTTCTTTTTCTACAAATAGAGGAAAACTTATTCAGAAAAAAGCAGACTTTATTGTTCACCTGGTATTTTGCCTGTACACACTATATTTGTGTTCTGGACTTCAAAGTCCCTCTTCGGCAGGTTTACAATAGCACGGTGCTAAAAACAAAATTTATAAAAATTACGACAATACATTAAAAAATTCCTGACATAATAATGTAGGGATACATATACATAATAAAGTACACTGTTAAAACCATAACATAGCAAACTGTTTTACCATTAAAACAATAAAACAGATTAATGAAGTAAAAACACTTATTTATCATTAAATCAATAAGACTATAAACTTATTTATAGTAGAACAGTGATTTACAGAAACAGTACATACTTGTAAATATATATATTTTAATATGATTTTATGTGCTTTAAACATTTTTCTAGTGATATTACGACTTCAATATTTGTGGCGGACAGACGTAAAGCACAATAAAATGACTTAAACTTGATTTTTATTTTTCCATATACTTTTTTGACAAACAACATATAATCGGGAACAACGTAAGTCGAAGTATACCTGTATTAAATTTATCAAGAGATAGCACCTAACATCTTCCTCTCGACCAAATTACTTGATATTTAATTATTAATAGTAGCATTAATATAACCCAATATAATCAAATAATCCTTTGCCATTAAACTTCCTCCCAACACAACCTAATAATTAATTTACAAGTTCTGGAAAAAAATAATTGGCTCAAAGCAGGACTTGAACTCAGAACTCCACTTATTGTGCAGTCGCATTGCCAGTTATGCTACCTGGACCTTTGTCCAATCTTCTACTCCAGAACTATTAATTTGTATATAACCATATTTGGTTACTTATGGCACTGGGTAGAGATGATTCAGTACCCACGGCCTATAACTCCTGCTATGGCACTCAGCTGGCTATCGCATCTACGGCAGCATGGTGATAATTTAATTATATCAAAATATGGCACCTAATGCCTACCTCTAGTACCAAATTACTTAGTATTTAATTATTAATAGTAGTAGTAATATAGCCTGAAATAAACCAGCAATTATTTGGCTTTAACTATTGAGTTTAAGATGTTGATACTTAAAATAATTTACTACCATAGCCAGTAACTGACTACTGACTTCTCAATAGAGTAAAAATGTTCAACAGCTTATTATAAACACTATTCATTATATTTTATATAATGTATAANTGTTACACGACCACTTTTATGTCTTCACCCTGTCGACCTTTAAGAACCAAAATTTAATAGTATTAATGCCCCTTTATACGCAAGCTACAGTGCCACGTTTCGTTTCTTAAACTTTACCCGTTCTGAGAACAGAAAATAAAGAAATTAAACAAATTAGACGCCAACACACACACACGCACGAATTTTTCCCGTTTATTGACATTTTTGAGGGGTTCGGGAGGTCTCCAAACGTGTAGATTTGAAAAAATAAAAAAACTTGGAGGGTCAAATTTGACACGATTCCAATACTTTTCTGTTTTATATACATGATAAGTTGGTAAGTAAAAAGGAGTTGGAGTCGGTGGATTTTTTGACGACTCCGGCTAAAACACCAAAACTCCACGACTCCGACTCCACAGCCCTGCTTTTTTTTCTATTCTACTTCTTCCATGATATAGTGCGTATGGCCACATGAAACAATTTCACTAAAACCAGTTCTTGGGTTAGAACTCATATTGGTGCTTCACAAGTTCCCATGGCAAAATTGAATTTTTAGAAGTAATGTATACTACTAAGAATATTAAAGAATGCATCATTCTTTAATATTCTTAGTAGTATACATTACTTCTAAAAATTCAATTTTTAATATCAGATTTAGATACACAACCAAATAATTGCCTTAAATAATGGGGCTATAATAATGATTGAATACATTGAATACATGTAATTTGTTACTAGAGGTATACATTAAGTGCCATCTCTTATCTAAATTAATAATTAATTAAATAAATTTAGAATTATGTGGAAGAAAAGAACTAGACTGGGGCAGGGCTTAAACCCTCAAACTCTGCTTGCCATGCTGTGCACTTTCTAGTTGTGCCACCTGAATCCTGAGTAAGCCTGTGTTTGATATACTTAATATCAGATTTAATAAGTATTTTAATAATTTGATACTTTTTTATGAAATAATGAAAATATTTATCTTTTCAAATTAAACTGCTTGATTAATATTGTAAATTCTGTGCAAACATTAAAATTACAAAAATGATATGATTAATATGATGTGATATATGATTAAAAAATACAGAGCATAAAACTGAAAAACACTTACTTCAAAAATATGATAAAAGGATTTAGTTGTTGGATTGGACAGAATTCTAGTACCATGTGGAAAAGAATAATTTTTCTCTATCAAGAACTGAAAAAATATAAAATATGATACATAATTAAATAATATATATATATGGCTTCTAAAATACTACATTTAAACATAGAAAAGTTTTGTCATATAAAAAAAAATTATTTAAATTTTAATAACAAATTTAAATCATTTTTTGGGGAAATTTTTAAAAGTTTTCTTAATTCTAAGTTAAAAACTTATCAACTCACTTCATATCTAAATAATGTTATAAAAAAAATTGAATGCGTTTTAATATTTTATTTAGAAATAATATTTTGAGAAAATATAAAATGTAAATTATTCCTTTAAAAAATTAAATTATTTTATGTAATCAAAGCTTTAGTTTTCATAGTTTTGCAATTCAATTTCAGAAAACTTCACATGATACTAACATGTGTTTAAAAAAACTAATGTCAATCTCTGTAAAATCAGATGTTGAAGAAAATTCAGCATAAACTAATTAAATTTCACAAAATTAAGTGAAAATGAATTCAAAAAATTCTTAGAATAATCTAATTTTAGCTAAGTAATTTCATATCATCATACCAGTAAGTAATTTCTGTAAGGTCCTAAACTATATTTGGCTTTAAATAATGAAGTTTTTCCATAAAAACAAAAAATAATGAAATTAAAATTTTTATTTTGAAAATTTTAGAACTTGTATTAGTGAAAACAGATGAATAGTAAATAAATTCCTGAAAGAAATATTCAGCATCATTTTTTAAATGTTATCCAAAACAAAGATATTTGCAAATTTGCTACATAAGAATTGTAAAGGAAAATATGACTGAAATATTATAAATATTATTTTAAAATAGCTTTCACAAAACAGAAATTAGAAAGTTATTATAAATGTATTTTTTGGTTTTCTTCTAATAAAAACATGCACTTATAATAATTTATTTCTAAATTGAATATACTCAAAAATCCAGCAGTTATAACCTTAACTGTCAATTTTAAAATAAAAACAAACATTTTTGGTCATTTTAAAACAACCATCTTAAGGTTTAAAAAAAAATGGTTGTTTTAAAATGACCGTTTTTATTTTTAAAGTGAAAGTTAAGGTTATAAACAGTTGGATTTTTGGTTTTTTGAGTGTATTCAATTTAAAGACATCCAGTTAAAGGAGGCAGTAATTTATTTTCATTCTTTTCTAAAATTTTGATAAAGTTGAAAGAAATATCAATGTATTTAACTTTACAAAAATAAACATAAAACAAAATTATTTTATAACATATAAAAATATTTTTTTACTTATAAATACAGCATATCATCAATATCATTGATAGGTCCTTAGAAATTGCACTGTTAAGTGAATGACATAACGAAACCAATTCTACCATAGGCCAAATGACATAAGCAAAAGTTAAGTTCATAAAGTATATTTCTTGTTACAAAAACATCACTTAATTTCTAAATAAAAACCCAACACTTCTTTAATATGAAAGATTAGAATAAATGTTAATTATACTTATCACATTTCAGAAAAATTAATAAAAACAGGTAAGATAATTATTTACCCAATTTTGAGAATTAGTGAGTGATGGCTGTCTTAGTGGTGTGGAGAAAAGCTAAATCCTCACTCTAGAAATGGATAAAGAAAAAATGTTTGCAGAGGGAAAATTATAAGGAGTATCTCCAATATGCAATTAAAAAATTAACAATTAGTTATTCCTAAGAACTAAAGCGTGTGCTATATAAATTGAAAGTGGTAAATTCAAACAAGGCACATTTATTTTGACATTAAATGATGTTTTACATGTTGTTAATGTGAATATAAGTTTATATTATTTGAAAAAAAGTGAAAGTATAACAAATACAGATTATATTAATCAGATTTCAAGAAAAAGAATTCATTTAATAATATTCTAATTCAATCATGTTTGCAAGCTCCAGCATTTATTTCCCATTTCATAGAATCAATTTTACTACTTATAAAGAAAATTCAATGGAAATAATTGTAAATAATTACAAATGTATCTTTCCTCAACAATGTTATAATAAAATAATGTTAAGTGAGGACTTGCTATATTTATAAAATAAATTGACAAAAACAGCATATCCCACTATAAATTTAATGTGTTTCTGAAAAAAATGTTAATATTGAAAGATGTTTTCATTATTTTTTTAAGTTAAAATTTTAACCTAATGTCAATACATCTGAATAATCCCAACTAATTTCCTCAAATAGCACAAACACTAATATATCTATCAATCCATGATATAACTCCAATTATCTTACTAACGAGCATTTAATGCAGTCATTAAAGGATATCTTTATAAGCAGTAGTTAAACAAATAAGTTTTTAGAAAGTTTGTAAAAAATTCCTAACAACCCTTTACAGTATAACTTCATTATTTTGAGGTTAAACAAAATAGCTCCTTGTCGAAATAATAGGACCAACTTCTCAAGTGTTCCCAAAAATTGATTTTCCAAGTTTCGTTCAAACAGGAGACCTGAACATCTGACCCTCTCATTAATAATTTAAGCTATTTTGAAAAACTGTCAGTTGTCAGATACTTACTAAAAACAACAAAAATGTAATCAAATTACATTCAAAGTAAGACCTAAAAATAACATATGAAAAAAGCTTAAGTGCTTCAAAAAGAATTATCACAAATTTTGTCTAGAGCAGTGTTCTGCAACCGGTGTGCCGTCACATGGTGAAAGGTGTGACATGAACTTTACATATTCTGTTAATTTCAAGTTTCATTTATATATTTTTATTGCAGTTGTTGTGTTTCTTATGCTTGTATTTCATTCTCTGTCGCAGCACTGATGAAATAAGATGATGATTGTTTATTCTTTATTACAAATAAATTTGCTCACAGGTGTTGATGTCTGTTTAATAATAATAATAATAATAGTTTAGTGCAGGCATGGTCAACATCTGGCCCATCTATTGAATTTATGTGGCCCGTGATTAACATTTCAATGTTAGCTACTCAAATCCGAATATCTCCATGAAAATTCTGAAGGCTATAAAAAAAAAAAGGTCAACAAGTACTGTGCAATTAGAGTTAATGTTCCATTAGAAATGTCAAAACGTATCTGTAATCTCTATGTACAATTTAGTCTCTACAGGGTGACACCACAATGAGATCTCACACCACCTCAAAATCTTCCTAGGGCAGCCTCTAGTTCAGCCTGTGAAAAACTTTTCTTTCCAATTCAACCTGGGGGCAAAAACTGTTGGCCATCCCTGGGTTAGTGTCATTACGTAATTCTATTAATAGTATCATATCATATGTTTTTGAGGGAAATAACATTTTGTTGTGTCGTGTTGAGTCATGGGTGTGCCGCAAGTAGAAGAAAAAGGTTGCAGAACACTGGTCTAGAGGATCAATGACTAGTTCTATGAAGAATTTCACCATCTTCAGTTTGAGATTACAAAAATCTGATGAAAACATGCTCTTTTAACAGCTAAAGCAATATGTACGCATTCTATCCTAAATACACACATGTATTTAATGGATTTTGGAATAACCAAAACAATAAATTTTTGTGAAAAATGGCCAAAATAATTAAATGCCAAACAGATAGATTTCTTTTATAAAAATAAAAAAGTTCTCTCTTCATTGGTAATGTGTACAATGTCTGAATGACCTTGTACAATCAATGTATCAATTGGTAAAATCAAAACTGAAACTGCCACTTGGGCATGAAAACTTTCATATAAACACATAATATGATAGAAGATTTAAACAATATTTTTGTGGTCATTGGACCAGATAATGACTTCAAATTTCATTGTACAAATATTTCAAATTATCTGAACTAAAATACATGCAAAATCCTATTCTCTTGGCTGGGAATTAGAAATGACTTCAAATAACATGATACTTTGAATTATAAAATACTGAAATAACAAGGTTTTACCATATTAGGAATTCTATATTAATTGTGTTTTCTTTAATATGTATTAGATGGCAAAAAAATGTTTATATATATATTTACATATATATTATATAAAAGAACAACAATGAAGTAGATAAATGAGATATGACCCTACTGTAATGAACTGTTAAGAATAAGCTCATAAGATAGCACTGAAATTTTGTAATAAAAATACATAACCAAAATAGAACACAGAAAAAGACATTGAATAAAACAGACAGACACCAGAAACAGAACTACTCTAATTTTCATTTTTATTAGTGCAATTTTCAAATTTTTCATAAATAAACTTGGAATAAATGTGTAATATCAGGATTCTTTAATTCAGATGTTATAATGGAGTACTAATGAGCATCATTTATTGTAATGGGAATTCAAATACAGAGGGTTCAGATACTGAAATACAAATGTACAAATATAAACTTTCTGAAATTTTTCAAAAATATACAAAATGTGTCGATATTTTTATTTTAGTAAACTTACCTCTTGCACTTGCTGAATACATTTCTGCATATACCATTTTTCTGATAAAGGTCTTACATCTTTCACAGAACGTTTCTCTGTAACACTAACACGTTGCACAAGTTGGAGTAATTTTGATGAATAATTAGAAGAAAATGTAGGCTGTGCTGAAGGTCTGTAAAATTTAATTTAAATCATTTCATTTATTATTATCCAATAAAAAACCATAGAGGGTATATATTTTTAAATTCTTTGATAAATATTAATTCAATTAACTAAAACCTAGTATATAGGCCTCTTTCATATATAAGACACAAAAGTGAAAGTTGAAAAGGAATGTTGACTTTTTCATGGATAGGATGCTCTCATGTATGGGTCACATCCTACAGCCAAAGTTTTAAGATATTTTTAATTACAGTAGAAACATGAAAATTCATCATGTTCTATAATTCATCACCTTGAAAAGGTGTTATTTTTAGATGCTGACTCATAATTCATACACAGTGTGTAATAGCCAGTTCTGGTCAGCTGCTGTATTTAGCAATGCGCGCAAGTGTTTTAATTGTGTTTATCATTCCAAGTTTTGATTCTCATTTTACATACTGTATTTGGACCAATTAAAAGTGGATTATATTTCCTGTAATGGCTTCAAAAAGATCATCTACAGTCGACCCCCCTATAAGATATAGATACGTTCCAATTTATTAGGAATCCGATTTCTTACAAGTCGTTCCAATCACAGCCCGACACGTGTCAAGTTTACGGACTACGGCTGATTGAAAGGTTTTCTTCCATAAAATTAATCGATTCTACACTAATCCGACTCAACATTTCCAAAATACGTATATTTTTTCGTAGTTTTATAGGAATCGTAATTATAGGGGGGTCGACTGTATTACCAATCTATTGATCTGCCATTGAAATTCAAAATTCTGCAGTGATTTAGAAAAACAGAAAGAGCCAGCAAAGTGTAAAATTTACAAAACTCCTCGTCAAGAATGGAAGTTTCCAATGGTGATGTAAGTAAATATATTAGATTTACTTGAGTGGCAAACACAGATTTAGATGAAGCTATGTATTTATGGTTCGTACAACAACAAAGTTTAGGCATTCATCTGAGCGGTCCCATTTTAATCCAAAGAGCACTAGAGATAAATACAAAAATAAACAGAAATCCTGAATTTAAGACAAGCATAGGGTGACTATGGAAATTTAAACAGTAACACAGGATTTGGCAGCTGTCTAATCAAGGAGACGTTAGGAGTGCTGATAATGAATGTGTTAAAAGTTATTGAAAACTTGATCTCTCAGATTTCAAATTTAGACTTAAGTAGAGAACAAGTGTATAACTGTGATGAAAGTGGTCTGTAGTGAGAAGCTCTACCAATGAAAACTTTAGTGCCTAGTTCAGAAACTTTGGCTCCAAGATATAAAATGAGGAAAGAAAGACTGACTATTATGGTTTGTTCAAATGCAAGTGGAAATCATAAACTTCCATTAACAATGGTTGGGAAAGCTAAGAAACCAAGAGCTCCAAAAAATTTTAATAAAAAATTATTGCCTGTTGACTATTACATTTAAAAAATGCAAGGATGGATCAAGAAATTTTTACATCCTGGTTTTGTAATGTGTTTGTAGTTCAGGTGAAATTGTATCTTAAATCTAAAAATCCAGTAATGAGTCCACTCGTTGTTTAACTTTTCCAAATTAGGACTGGTGCATCTCAAGATGCACCAGTCCTAATTTGGAATAAAGCTTCAAAGAGGGTAACAAAATCATGTCCCCACCATACACACACATACATATATATATACAAAAAAAACCCCTGAATTTTTTTGCATTTCTCAACATTTCTAGGTCGAGTCCAAAAACGTAAAAATCTTCCAGGGGGTCATTTTCTGACTGATCACCATACTTTCCCTCTGTTATATACAAGTTATAACAGCCAGGAAAGTAAAAATATACCAGAAAAAGTGCTTTTAATTATTTCAATGGATGTGCTGGAGCATTGTCTATAATTATAGACAATGCTCCAGCACATCCATTGAATTACTTAGAAGTTGATAAAGATATAAAATATATCTTTCTTCCTCCCAACACCTCCTCTCTGATTCAGTCAATGGATCAGGGAGTAATTGAAAATTTGAAGCATTGCTACTAAAAAAATATTTGTTCAACATTTTATTTCTTCTGATATGGATACAAATTTGGACAATTTTGGAAACTACACTATTGAACATGCAATTTTAAACATTGCCAAAGCAAGAAATAATGTTCCAAAGAAACATTGTCTCAAAGTGCAACAAAATTTGGTCATCAGATGAACTTAATGGAAGTAACAAGGATGAAAACAAACAATTGCTGGATGATATTTCTTGAATGTGTAACAACACTTTTCAAATATAAAAGGATGATGTAAATGACTGGCTGAATGTGAATAGCTGATTTGGGGTATGAAATTTTCAACAACAATGAAATAATAGAGCAAGTAACTAAGGACATAAACAATGAAGAAAATGAAACAAATAATGATGATGATGACGATGATGACAAAGACAACATAACTAATTCTTGACATTTTAATTACAAAGAAGTTGAGGAAATGTTATCAAAATGCATTGAATGATACAAACAGAAAAATGAGGCAGAAGTTCTAGACAATGATATTTAATTTTCAATTATATTTAAAGGGAAACGCATGCACAGAAGTTCTCTGCATTTGAACTTGTCCTATTGTTTGATCTTATTTAAACATTGCACAAGGAATGCATGCGCATATGGTATTCAAAATCTCTCACCATTTGATTTTATATTCGAATGTTAACTGCCAGCCTGTTTTGAATTAAAAAGAAGCCTGAAGAAGAGCCGAGAAGGGGTTACAAAAATGTTCGTCACTCAAATGTTAATCGTATTCATACCAGTTAATGGTTAATGTGAGTCATATTTTAGAAATTTTGAACTTAATCACAATGTGGCATGTGCACAACTTAGCAATCACAAAGGGATGGAAAAAATAATTTTAAAAATTCACATAGTTTTTAAAAATGTAATATGTACTGTACATACAAAGACAAAAGAACAATTTTTTTAACATTCTGGCAAGATTTAAAATATGTAAGGTAATTTTTAAGTTATATTCTTAACTTTGATAAAATGTTTTCCAAAAGATTTTGTAAAAAATAGAATATAAAAGTTATGTATTGTGTTAATTAAAACTAAAAACACATTTTAAATACAAAAGTATTTGTTTTAATTATTACAGTAGAGCGTCGATTTACCGAATCAATTGGGGACTGGGGCTGTTCATATAACTGATATTTCGGATAACCGATTATGTACGAAAAAATATATTAACCTATCCCATGTTGAAATTTTTCTCCGTTGCATGTCGCTTCGCGTTGAATTTTTGTCGATGTTAAGCCTAACAAAGACTATTGTATCGTTAAAAATTATTTTTTTATTTTGTACAAACAAAATAAATATATTGAAAAATATAAAAACAATAAAAAATTATACTTCAGAAGTTAATTTAGTATCAAAAACGTAAAATATTTGAGTAGCCGAAGACATAGCCAAAGATTACAGCGCCACAGCACTGGCGAAAATTTAAATTTGTCGACTGGAATTCCTTCGGATAACCGACGTTTCGGATAACCGACCTTCGGATAAACGATGCTCTACTGTATTTATAATACTTTCTTTTTGGAAAACACAACAGCCTTAGAAGTCTATAATACTATAGAAGGTTTGAAAAACAGCACTCCAGACATCAGTTTCTTAAATATTGAAATCTTAAAACACATATCTGAGTTACTTTGTACTCGAATATTTGTTGTCTCGGGAAAAAAGTGGAAAGACAAATTTTTATGACAAACGGATACGTAAATCGTAAATTTAAGGAAAATAAATTCTAGAGC